TTGTTATAATCATGGACGTGGTTGTTATAATCATGGTCGTGGTTGTTATAATCATTTTCGTGGTTGTTATAATCATGGTCGTGGTTGTTATAATCATAGTCGTGGTTGTTATATTCATGGTCGTGCTTGTTATAACTGCTGGGTCGTGGTTGTTATAATCATGGTCGTGGTTGTTATAATCATGGTCTTGGTTGTTATAATCATTTTCGTGGTTGTTATAATCATGGACGTGGTTGTTATAATCATGGTCGTGGTTGTTATAATCATTTTCGTGGTTGTTATAATCAGACTCGTGGTTGTTATAATCAGACTCGTGGTTGTTATAATCATTTTCGTGGTTGTTATAATCATGGTCGTGGTTGTTATAATCATTGTCGTGGTTGTTATAATCATTTTCGTGGTTGTTATAATCATGGTCGTGGTTGTTATAATCATTGTCGTGGTTGTTATAATCATGGTCGTGGTTGTTATAATCATTTTCGTGGTTGTTATAATCATGGTCGTGATCGTTATAATCATGGTCGTGGTTGTTATAATCATGGTCATGGTTGTTATAATCATTTTCGTGGTTGTTATAATCATGGTCGTGGTTGTTATAATCATTGTCGTGGTTGTTATAATCATGGTCGTGGTTGTTATAATCAGACTCGTGATTGTCATAATCATGGTCGTGTTTGTTATATTCATGGTCGTGGCTGTTATAATCATAGTCGTGGTTGTTATAATCATGGTCGTAGTTGTTATTATCATATTCGCGGTTGTTATAATCATGGTCGTGGTTGCTATAATCATAGTCGTGGTTGTTATAATCATGGTCGTGAGTGTTATAATCATGGTCGAGGTTGTTATAATCATGGTCGTGGTTGTTATTATCATAGTCGTGGTTATGATCATAGTCGTGGTTGTTAAAATCATGGTCGTTGAGTGTTATAAACATGGTCGTGGTTGTTATAAACATATTCGTGGTTGTTATAATCATGGTCGTGGCTGTTATAATCATGGTCGTGGTTGTAATCATGTTCGTGGTTGCTATAATGATAGTCGTGGTTGTTATAATCATGGTCGGTTGTTATAATCATAGTCGTGGTTGTTATAATCATGGTCGTGGTTGTTATAATGATAGTCGTGGTTGTTATAATCATAGTCGTGGTTGTTATAATCATGGTCGTTGTTGTTATAATCATGGTCGTGGTTCTTATAATCATAGTTTTGGTTGTTATAATCATCTTCGTGGTTGTTATAATCATGGTCGTGGTTGTTATATTCATGGTCGTTCATTGTTGTAATCATATTCGTGGTTATTATAAACATGGTCGTGGTTGTTATAATCATTTTCGTGGTTTTTGTAATCGTGGTCGTGGTTGTTATAATCATAGTCGTGATTGTTATAATCATGGTCGTGGTTGTTATTATCATGGTCGTGCTTGTTATAACTATAGTCGGTTGTTATATTCATGGTCGTGCTTGTTATATTCATGGTCGTGGTTGTTATAATCATGGTCGTGGTTGTTATAACTGCTAGTCGTGGTTGTTATATTCATGGTCGGTTGTTATAATCATGGTCGTGGTTGTTATAATCATGGTCGTGGTTGCTATAATCATGCTGTGGTTGTTATAATCATAGTCGTGGTTGTTATAATCATGGTCGTTGGTTATGATCATGGTCGTGGCTGTTATAACGGTCGTGGGTGTTATAAGCATGGTCGTGGTTGTTATAATCATGGTTGTGGTTGTTATAATCATGGTCGTGGTTGTTATAATCATGGTCGTGGTTGTTATAATCATTTTCGTGGTTGTTGTAATCATGGTCGTGGTTGTTATAATCATTTTCGTGGTTGTTATAATCATAGTCGTGGTTGTTATAATCATGGTCGTGGTTGTTATAGTCATGGTCGTGCTTGTTATAATCATAGTCGTGGTTGTTATATTCATGGTCGTGCTTGTTATATTCATGGTCGTGCTTGTTATAATCATAGTCGTGGTTGTTATATTCATGGTCGTGGTTGTTATAATCATGGTCGTGGTTGTTATAATCATGGTCGTGGTTGTTATAATCATGGTTGTGGTTGTTATAATCATAGTCGTGGTTGTTATAATCATGGTCGTTGGTTATGATCATGGTCGTGGCTGTTATAATCATGGTCGTGGGTGTTATAAGCATGGTCGTGGTTGTTATAATCATAGTTGTGGCTGTTATAATCATGGTCGTGGTTGTTATAATCATGGTCGTGGTTGTTATAATCATGGTCCTGGTTGTTATAATCATGGTCGTGATTGTTACAATAAGGGTCGTCCCTGAGACTAACACAGGTAGAATAAACCCCACACCTAATCTTTAATCTCAATAAACCCAGATTAACCTCACCTAATCAACAGGATTAGAGACCATTAGGATTGTACCACCAATACTGATACATTTCACACTGGATTAATAACAAAACATTTAATCACATTTCCAATTGCTAAAGTCTTGCGGATATCTTATCAAGTTGTGAGTCTTACATGTCTATATAATTATGTTTTGTTCTTACAAATATTTATAGTTCGTTGTGTATTGTATTGTATGGTATGGTATTGTACTGTATTGTTTCCGGCTGACAGCGTACAGCGAATGGGGGTGCGGCAAGTCCGTAGACGTGCATGGTTGATTAGGGTGCATCGTTTTCCATCGTAAATAAAATGGTTAATTAATAGCTTCCTAAAGAAACCATCGACATGGAACCAGGTTTGTTCCACTCTACGATTGTGCCGTTTCGGCTGCACAGACAGACAAACAGACATACCGACATACATTCGGATAGTGCTATAGTATATTAGATTCCCCTTCTACCACAGAATAGTTCCTTTCAGCATTATTTAAATTTCGTCTAGCGTAAGCAACAGGCCACCGTTCACTATCCCACATTTGTAATAGCACTGCTCATATCCCCACTTCAGATGCATCCGTCTACACGACAAAGTCCTTTTCTAAGTCCACTAATTTTAATATTGGCTAATCACTCCTTACTTTCCTTGATACATCAAAAATAATTTTGATGTTCTAACTGCCATACACATCAGCTTCATATTTCAATTAACACCCGCAGCTCATAGCATTAATTACGGTGATATCATAACCATTTGTGCACTAGTTTATCTCTTTAATAAATGGAAAAAAGACCATTAGGGTTTGATAACTTTACCCATTAACATTTATTTATGATAATTTCAAAGAACCTGGCAACTCATGATAACAGACATTCAACAGTGATTGCAACAGGTAACCGGAACCTATCATAGGTGGCAGCAAAAGGATAAGGAACTCGCTGTGTTGAAAAGCCGGTGTGTTATACAAAATAACGAAACAAAAGAAATTTATTGGTCAGTGTTTTCCAAAGTTCTCCGTTTTTTGCACGTGATATATGCCTTTTTTGAGAGAGATTCAAACTTTTTTTTAGCTTGCTCAATGTACAAGTTTAAAGGTTTCTTATTATAAGTGATTATATACATTTTTTTATCACTTATGGTAACAGGCACCATTGCCAATCTCTGGGTGTCTTAGCAACCTTGTCTTCAAGACATATACCGGGAATGTTTACACTACGAGGCCTAATGTAAACAACAGACTTAAGACGCTATCCCACGGCATCTGCGGTACATACACGTATGTTTTGGGTTGTTAATACCGGTCTCAGCACTCACTTGACCCCAGGTTCAACACCATTACAGTGACTGAACCCAGTGACCCACTCTCTGGTTCAGACCATCCGGGTTATAACAAGTGACTGTTTTCGAAACCATCTTGGACACGTCATCGACGCCATCCTGGACACGCCATCGACGCCATTTTGGACACGTCATCGACGCCATCCTGGACACGCCATCGACGCCATTTTGGACACATCATCGACGCCATCTTGGACAAGTCTCTGACGTCATCTTAGACAGATCATCGACGCCATCTTGGAACGTCACTGCAATATCATAGCAAGACGCCATCTTGTATTTTTGCATCTATAAACAAGACAGGGTATCACGATGTCTTCTTGCTAGGTATTTCAATAACACGCTTATACACACATTTAACATATTCTTCCACAGCATACCATCATACGTCAGACATCGTGATAGGTTAGTTTTTTATTTGAAAAGTGCCTTACTTTGCTGATTACTCGCATAATTTAATTTAGTTTTATCGTTTCTTTTATTACTGAAGCACTTACATTTTCGTTCATTTACTGTAAATGGATGGACAAGGTTATAGTATAATATAATTTTGTATATTTTTTTACATTATCATTTATTGATAATATACCTCATTTACCTGGTGCAGACAGTCTCTAATTAGTGGAGGATTACATTAATGACCCTTTTGATTACTTAGAAAATGCAATACAGACTGACGCAATGCCCCCTCCCGGAGCTGGCATTGATACTGGTATTACATTAGTCTTGCATGGAACAACACCTGATTTACAGCGACAGACTTCCATTGAGAGTAGTGAGCAATTAATCGATCAATCATTTGGCGATTTACACCTTACCCACCTCAGGTCAGGTCGTACATACGACACTACACCTCACTACAGTTCTGTTCATTATCTATCAACATCAGAACCAACTAACCATGGCTAATTCTGCTCAAGGCACATCACCCCAGCTTCTTCATGTTACAAAAATCTTGCCACAACAGGACCCCATTGCATTAGTTATGGGTTATGATCCTAATTATCACATGGTCACAGTTTTGTGTGCTTAAGTGACTTCACAAAGATTAAGAATCACAGCTTATTTCACCTGATGATTAAATATCCAAACTCCAAGTGGGGTGTTAGGTTAGGTTAGGTTAAGTTAGGTTTGGTTAGGTTACGCTACGTTAGGTTAGCAATGGCGAATCATCAGGTGAAATAAGCGAGGGTTTCTAATCATTCTTAGATCCATATATCTATGACCGATGTAGTAAATTATTTGTGTTTACATTTAGGCTCAAACTTCCTCACTCTCACGATGCCTCTCTACAGACAGCCTGAGTCACCGTTCTGAGGTGAGGGCGAGGTTGGCCAATGACTCGCAGTGGGTGGGTCGCTACTTGAGTCGGGTCATTGGGATGATGCAGCAACAAGACAACGTCCTCCTGACTCTGTTGCCCGGCACCTCCCTCAACCTCCCTTCTGACCAAGGTAACGAGAGAGAGAGAGAGAGAGATCATCCATTCCACCCTGCTATAAATCATCACCATTTTGGCAACGTTGGCTCATTTTACTCTCACTTTCACCTGTACTTTCACTCTCCTCACCATCATTCATTATTCACTTGACCAATACTGATCTTCACACGTCTGCAGTTACCTTTTAAGTTTCTTTCTCTCACTATCAAATTTCAATAATACATTTATATTTTTATTCCTTTGTTTTCGTCTCTCACTTTCATTTACATTCATGTTTTTCGCACTCTTCATGTTCTGCCCACGCCTCACGTTCTTCTCACGCCGCACATTCTGCCCATGCATCACACAAGCTTTCTCACAAGAGACTTAATTTTCTTGTTGCGGCATAAATATAAAACTCCAATTCATGGAGGGTTAAGCCAAGTCGTATTTAGCTCCGAATACTTTTTTTTGGAGATTATCTTATACCAGTTTGCAATATTGAAAAATTCGGATTCGGAATTTTCATAATTTTCGGTATTTGGTCTTTAGCAATATGTTGATTCTACTTTAGGTTACAGATTTACAGTTCTCAGTCTTAGAACTGGCCGTTTTTCAATGTAAACCTAGACAATATATTCTACAATTTGCAACATTACAATTTATAGTTTAAATTGACAGTTTTGATGATAATTTTATAATGTTAACTACAACAATATCTTCTTTTTAACATAAAAATTCGTGGTTTATAAAATTCATACATTATACTTGCATTTAACACTGGGAATTAATGACATCACCCACTACTAACAATATGGCGAACGTAAAGATATTTATTTGTTCCAGACGATTATATATATTGCACATTAAATCTATAAATGCTTCGTCCATCCTTTGCATAGTCAGGAAGATACGGCCTTTGACACACGCCGCTCCTCTTACACGACCATGAGGAAGATATCTCTCACTCAGCAAATTTCCTCTTATCCCACGTGGTGTTGGAGATAAACGCACAAGCAGGTGAAGCAACTGGTGTGTGTGTGTGTGTGTGTAACAATAATAATAATAATAATAATAATAATAATAATAATAATAATAATAATAATAATAATAATTAACGGTTTATTGAAAAAGTTCTGCAGCCCGAAGGCCGAAAATATACATTAGACAAAAATGACTTATTGCATACAAAGACATGGGGTGGGTGAGTCGTTTAACAAAAGCTTTCATAACTAAAAGGAGAAGGAATAATAATTGAACATACAAAATATTATAGTTTACAGTTGATGGCCCGGGCCTGGGCTGGCCATGGAGACACCAGGTGGTGAGGTGTTCACGTGGTGTAGTAACTCGTCCTCGGGTGTTGATGTAAGGGACCTCACTTGGTCATGGAGACATCGGATGGTGTGGTGTTCACGTGGTGTGGTAACTCATCCTCGGTGTTGTTATGAAGGACCTCACGTAGTGAAATAGGAACCGAGTCTGTATGGGTAGAAATCACGGAAGGAAGAGAAAAACTAATTATGGGAGTGATTTACAGGCCCCGAAGTCTTGGGAAAGAAGCAGCTCAGCCCATATGGCAGGCACTTCGGCATCTCAGCTACCCTGAGAGATTGGAGCGCCTGAACTTGCCTAGCTTATACTACAGACGGGCAAGGGGGGACCTAGTTGAGGTTTATAAGCATCTCAGGGGGCACTACTCAGTTGAGTGTCCTTACTTGGAGCTGGCGGACGCTCGCCCCACAAGGGGTCACAGCTCAAGATTGAAGAAGCCGCAAGTCCAGAAAACCGTGAGGGCAAACTTTTTCGGAGTGAGGGTTGTAAACTCTTGGAACAATCTACCAGAGAGTGTTGTGACGGCACCGAGTGTGAGCTCTTTCAAGAGAAGACTTGACCAACACTGGAGCGGGTTCAGGTACATTCAGGAGCCGGTGCATGCCCAGTATTTGCCAACAGTGCGTGACAGAGACGTGACCGATCGCCCGGGCGGCTAGCGAGCCGACCTTTTGGTGAAGAATATAAAGGAAAAGAGACGTGACCGATCGCCCAAGCGGCTAACAAGCCGATCAGTGGCGAAGAGGATAAAAGTAAAAAGAAATGAGTAGGGCAGCAAAATATAACAACTTGTGCATTA